CTCTCAGTGAAATATGTCTCTGTATTGATACCTGTGATACAAAGAAAATTGAGTGGGTCAGGCTTGGGAGTCTGGTGAGCATATAGGGTTTTCAACCCACAATAATATAATTATTATATTCAATTATCAAACAATCAATTCAATTACCCACCCCCATTATCTCCATTTATTTCTTAAAGATTTATCCTAAGAACCGATTACCCTTCTCCCATTCATTCCTAAGGATTTCCCTAAGGAACTGACACAAAATATAGTGCTGCCAAGGTTCTTTGATTACCTCTGGTGAACACGCGGTTCAGAATAATTAATGAACACCTAGTTCAAGAACACCTAATGAACACTTAGTTCCAATATTACCCAATGAACACCTAGCTCACAAACACTTAATGAACACTTAGTTCAAACATCCCTGATGAACACTAAGTTCAAATATCTAATGAACACTTAGTTCGAATATCCCTGGTGAACCCAGTCACCTAAGGAACACAGAGCACGAAAGCTCTTAGTTCAAACAATGTGATAATAAAGTATATCTCGATCCTGCAGAACCACTAATATTATAAACACATATAAATCATATTGATAAAACAATCTATCCCATCCCGTCGATCCCCACATACTGACCCTATACAATGATCTTATGAGATTTAGCCTAAGGAATCGATATAAACCACAAATTGACAAAGTTGGTTCGAAAATTTCCTAGCAGGAAACGAGGATCAATAATGACATCAAATGAGGGGAATGGAATAAGTTTCACCACGAACCTTCGTTCGTAAAAGAAAGAACCACAAGACAATTAAGTCATGGGTAGTTATCTAGATAACAATGCTTAAGCGTGGTCTGACTATCGTGAGGTATTTTACCCCCAGACTCTCCCTATCCAGCATCGAACTTTGCCTTGCAATGGCCTAAATATCATGAGGTATTTCACCCCCAGACGCACCCTATCCAGTAATATAATACCATACATACCTAGCAGTGGTTTATTACCGACACACCTTATTAGGCAGTCTACGAAGTCCCCTTAATTACTTCGTGAAAGAAAACTCTGACATATGAAGCTCGGTCGATCACTTCATAAAAGAAACGCTGACTCGAAAGCTCTCTCAAAATAAAAGTATGGGGAAATACTATTAGAGTACTCCCGTATGCTCCCGTAATGGACACACCAAATTGTCAAAAAGACTTTGTACATGATAGTACTTCTGGCACATTATAGAACTCTGGTATGTGAAAGACTCGTACCCGAGAACATAATAGTACCCTGGCCCAAGCAGCACCCAAGACACATAGCTTTGAAAAGGACTTCGTACATAAAATGTACTTCTGTATGTAGGACGTACTCCACCGATCATCAATCTCACCCCACACATACTCTTAATAAGAGAGTACCCAAAGTCCAATCTTAATTGAACTAAACATCCCATTTAAGTCTTAACCCATCACTAGGCAAACCTACAATGTTTATAATCAATTTTTGATACTATCTCCGTTTAGGCAACGCCAACCAGTGTATGCTTAACACAAGGTTTTAAGTAATAATATCATATATGCACATCTTAACACATATTGAACCATATTTGATTCGCACGTTGTATATTATCAAGTATATCTAACACGTATTTCGGACAATGACAAATACTTCACATACATATGTATATTTCATACTTTAATCAATACTCGTATTAAAATCACGTTCCTAAAAGGGACTATACACATGATACCTTATCGAATGAACACATAGTTCAAAAATACATAATCCGTACTCCCGGATCTAAAATTTACCTCATTGCTTAATCCATATTCTCGGATCTAAAACTAACCTCTTGATCTGATTCATACTCCCAGATCTAAAACAAGTTTATCTCTTTACCCCCTTTTTTTCCCTTTATCTTCAATCTCATCTACCCATGTTCTACCCAGCATATTTGTAGATACAAATACATATACAGTTTAACTCATTAAAACCTACATAATTCATCCATTCCACAATCATCTTAAATAAACAACAATATATACACATATAGCACGTATTTCATAGAAAATACTTAATATTTATGTGTAAGAAGAAAGTAACTACACACTCACCTGATCAGAAGATGATCGGACAACGCCTTGTCTCTTAAAATAATCTTTTTGCGACGAAATTGGGATGCTTTCCTCCAAAATCGGGCTACACGTGGGGCAGAGCTTCAGCTCGGAAATCTCACTTCTCGGGATCCTCGGGGTTTCGGAACTTGCTTCAGGGCTCGGGAATGGTACCGGGGCTTCGGGATAGTTCTTGCACGAGAAACGATACAAAAATGAGAGAAAGAGAAGAGTTTGAACAAAATAAATTGGTAGCCCTTAACATCTATTTATAGGGTGTTGAAACCTCGATTACACTAGGCGTAAATCCAGGTACGCTGGGCGTACTAAGCCTTACGCTCGGCGTACGCTTCGGATAAGCTTTAGTATGCGTGCCTCGAACTTCAAAAATTCATAACTTTCGCATACGAGCTCTGTTTTCGACGTTCTTTATATCCACGCGTAGGTGAGACAATGCTCTAAAACTTTCATTTAGACTCTGTTGGTGAATTTTTAATTTATTTTTATTATATTATTTTTAGTAGGCCGGGACGGGAAAACTCCGCTATAAAATCATAACTTCTTCATTCGACGTTTGTTTTCGTCTGTCTTTTTACCGTTGGACTACTATCGACGAGATCTTTGATTTTCGTTTAGATTGTTTCGGCTAAAAACCGCTCGATCTTAAATCGAGTATTCGGGTTGCATATCGCTAAGTCGAAACTTAGAAAAATCATAACTTCCTCATACGAAGTTAGATTTGGACGTTCTTTTTATGCACGGTCACGATTTAACGTATTCTACGACTTTTGTTTAGATCACCAAGGCTAAATATCGATCTATCGTAAATTCACTATTTACGTCGCGCTGTGTCGTGCCGGTTCTGTCGCGAAACTTCGACAGGTCATAACTTCTTTTGTTATAACTCGGATTTCGGCGTTCTTTATATGTACAAAATCCTTGTAACCTATACTACAACTTAGTTACAAATTACTCCTTCTAAATAATCTTCCATCAAAAAGTCATTTTTGATGCTTATTGTCTCTAAATTGACTAGTCGGGATCTATGGGCGTTACACTTGAAGAACAAACTGAGTGTTTGAAGCATCCATTTGGTGCATAGAAAATGACCTGAAAGATTGAATTTAGAGGAGGAGAGAGAAGCGAAAAAGACAAGCAAGTCTCAAATTTGATGATAATTTTCTTTAATGAACTTGAACCATCCATCCATGAAGTAGTATTTGTCTTTGATTTTCACGTATTTGATACTCCATTCAACAACATATTTGTTCTTGAGAACAACTGTTGTTTTTTTGTTATTGTCTTTTTCGAAATACTTCTCGACAAAAGCAGACGATAATAGGTGCAAAATATGCTGAATAACTGAAGATCTATGTAATGAGAAGCAAAAAAAAAAAAAATTGTGTGTGAGAGAGAGGGGGGGGGGCGGTTGTTGCAGTTGACTAAATGAGTGTAATAAGTATTGCTTACGTGTCAACGATGAGTTGACTCACTAGTAAGCCATTGTTGACTAACATATTTAGTTGGCAGTTGACAAGGTAGTGTAACATTAAAAAATGAGTAAAGATACGTAATTAACCGGTAAAACACAAGTTTGTGCCCTTCAAAAAAAAAAAAAAAAAAACAGGACAAATTAAAATAGTATACAAAACATTATTGAACTACTATGATAGTAACCCTAATAAATATGTCAAATAAGTAATTGACAAAACTGCAAAAATGGTCCCTGTGATATGCATTTTTTTTGGGGTTTTAGTCTAAACCCCGATTTTTTTGGCTTCGTGGTCCTTTTGATCATGTTTGTACGTAAATTTGGTCCCTCGTAAAATTAAAATGACTGTAATGCCCTTCTTATATATTTTTTATGTTTTTTCTATTTAATTTAAATGAAAAAGAAAATAATTAATTAATTTGGGGCCACATCTCTCTCTCTCTCTCTCTCTCTTTCTCTCTCTCTCTCTCACAGAAGCCATTCTCATGGCATCACCACCCAGTTTTGATTTAGGGAATTTAAGATTGCTTCACGGAATTTAAATGCCAAATTGATGGCTTAAACAAACATTTGTAAAGCAAAATTACTGAAAATCAATGAACACAACTAAGAACTACATGCAACATCAAAAGATCATTCAAACAAAAGATCAAACACTTGGTGGGCATCAACCACACACCCAAACACAAAAAAACCCCACCTCCTCATTTTCATCTTCATCACATCACTTGCAGAAAAAAAAGCAAAAAAAAAAATCACTCCTGTTCCCACTTCCTTCTTCTTCTTCTTCATTTCCGGCCATTGACTCCGGTAACAATTTTTTTTTCCAGTCAAGACTTTCCCAAACTTCTGTCAATACATTCTCAAAAACATCAGAGAACATTCTAACTGTTCTCACTTCCTTCTTTGATAATTTACAAATGACAATACACCCACTAATGATTTGGGTTTAATTCTTCGTCATCGTCATTTGGTTCCCGATGCTCCTCGTCAAATGGTGGAGATCAAAGAGTGTGTTAGGTAGAAGAAGAAGAGAGGGTGGGGTTACGATTGTTTCTTCTCATCTTGACGGAGACTAATTCGGAGGAGGAGAGGTCATTGTCTGAAATTTTCAAACCCCATCTCTTCATCTTCGACCCCTTGTACTCTTCTCATTCAGACCCGAAACCTAAAATCAAAAGGGAAATCAGATGGTTTTTGTAGTCTTTTACTCTAAACCAACAAAAATTCACGTATAAGGGTTGGAAAAAGCAAAGCATACATGTAGATCTTCAACTTGTTTACATAAATTGATTTCACTCGTCATTGATGTAACCACCCTTTGGAGCTCCAAATCCTTAAGGTTTTGTCCCTGAAATCAGTCAACCAAGCTCCAAATCCTTGATGAACTTGTTGATGGTGAACTTGTAATGATACAATGTGTGGGGGTAGGATCGAACGTGCTATGGTGTCGGAGGCTGAAGCTGAGCGACGATTCAGTGGTTTCCATAAGCAGTTTGTTAATGGTGGTCGAAAGTGGTTTAGGGTTTTTCTTCAAAATTGTGATTCTTTCTTGTTACGATCACAAAAAGAGGAATTATGCTCTTAATGCCGAGAGAGAGAGAGAGAGAGAGAGAGAGAGAGAGAGAGAGAGAGAGAGAGAGAGAGAGAGAAAAGGTGGGCCTCCTCTTATTTTATTAATTATTAAAATAAATAAATTAGTATTAGATTTAAAGAGAAATAAAAGAAAAATGGAAAATAAATACCCCAATGGTATTACGGTCATTACACTATTCAGAAGTACCAAAAACACAATGAAACTAGTTCAAAAGGACCATGAAACCAAAAAAAAGTCGAGGTTTTGACTAGAACCCAAAAAATATCATAGCATAGGAACAATTTTTGCAATTTTATCTAAGTAATTTTGAAGCTAGTTATTGATAATTTAAATGTAAACATTAAATCAAATTATATATACATACTAATTTTGAATTACCACATAAACAGTACTCTTCTGTCACAGATTTTTTTCTTTTTGTTGGTGGACTTTTTTTAATGGTTTCTATACATTTGAGATAGAGATTTCCACGTGTTATCATACATACTGTCCATTATATACGTGTTTTCCTCCTTCGCTTTTGCTTCATTCGTGTCATGCTCTCTTCAATACTATGGTGTCCTCCACCGTTTCATTCCCCAATTAAATTACTCCACCACACCACCACCGACTCCAACACCGTTAACTAGCCACCGATTGCCTCATATCCACTGTCATAGATTTCTCAAACGGCTTCTCCCTTTTTTCTTCCTTTTACTTGCGCTTCCGTCGCATTTCGGAGTAGCCACCAGGGTTACCATCGATCCATTGTCTGCATCTACTACAACTTCCACTTCGTCAAATAACTGTCTGATAAGTTGGTGTTGTTCTAATGATTTCCACCGATACTGATAGGTAATCGACAGGTAATGAATTTCCTTTCTTAGGTTATCATTTATTGATCAATCAAATAACTTCTTCAATTCGATTCTTACACAGAGATTCTCTAGCTATTTCTTCATTTTTCTTCATTAATTGCTGAAAAAAAAAACCATGAATTTGGGGTGGATAGGATGGACAGTGGAAGCGGTGATGGTGTCATGACCGATGGTATTGAATCAACCAAGGCTGGAGGTGTAAGTTCCCATAATTGAACTCCTATTCGTTCTGTTTTTTTCTCATTATCGATTGTGATAAACCCATCGGAGAAGACAAATAGACTCTTGTGAGGTTGGAATCTGCGTAGCAAATTAAGAACATAATTTAGGGTTTTGTGTTGTTTTGATATTATCACAATTTGAAGACGTATCTTGGAAATATTTTGGAAACAATGGAAATTTCGTAGTAATGCTTACATGCTCTTTATCTATTATTGATTGACATTGTTTTATTTGGAGAACATGTTCAAATATGTGTACTGCTTGTGCAAGTGTCTTACATGCTCTGACTTAGGATTTTCACAGATTCAGTTCAACTTTGCTGTGAGTGAGTGCATGTTTGTTTGGTTTAGCTTGATCGCTGTCTAATTTTGAAATCTATGTTAATTATACACAGGGAGGTGCATCAGAAGCATATATTAGAGTCCTTGCTAAACACAAATATGTAAATAATGAAGATCCACTTGATGTTGGGGGTAGAATGGTCCCTTTTGAAACCAATGATCCAGATTTCTCATGTGAACATGCTCTTTGATTCGAAGATGCGGTAAGTTTATTCCAAACTATAGACTTGATTGTTTGGATGTTTTTTTGTAAGCCTGTTTGGTTCCCGAGTTCTGATAAAATCTGACAGCATTGAAATTTGAGATTCCATTTTCTATGTTGTTTGGTTGCCAAATGTTTTTAGGTGAGAAGTCGAGCCATAACTTTGCAGAGTTATATAAGATCAATTAAAGATATACTAAAACATGCTTCAAAGCTTCTCAAGGCTGAACTTCCTTTATCACTTAGATTAATTGGTAATGTTTATTGGGTGAAAATTAAATAACAATATTTATTAACAACAATCTAAATTCAGAAATAAAATGTTTTTGATATTGTGTGGTGTCTGACAAGGAAGCAGATGGAAGCATGGAAAATGCCAACCATGTGAATCTTGATGATGATAATCAATCTGATTCAGAACCAATGGTTGTATACTGCCCCAATTTAGAAATCAGTAATCCCTAAATTCTAATATAATATTGTGGAAATTCTTGATGTACATGCTAATGGCAGTGTATCTGTTACTTTATTAGTCAAATTCAAAGGGTTTGTAAGTCTTTTTAAGAAAACAGCTTCGAGAGGACTAAATGACCGAAAATCCCTAGAAATGAAGCTTTAAGATTCTCTCATCGAATCCCATAAAAAAAAACTGACTGGAGCAGAAAGAGCTGGTGTGCCACTTGGATATTTTGAGCTTGATACAACTTTTTTAGCAGATGATCTTAAAGACTATGATTATTCCGTCAATCTTGCAGCGCTTAAAGGTATATTTCTCCACTGCATTGTGTTTTGTAGCATTATATTCTCATTTTGTTTTTAGTCATTATGAAGTTTGGGTTCATTGCAACGCTCTTTGTGGTGAATATTTGTCTATGTTCAAAATAATAATGCTAAAGATTACCTAATCATCTTCAGAATATGTTTAGTTCACAAGCTAAAATTGCGAATAAATAATGTATATGTCTCTGTTTATTTGCAACAGATGGTTTCATCAGTTTCCAAAAAAGCAGTAAGATGAAGTTATAAGCATACATGCACATGGTAACAAGGTCTGAAATGGAATAAATTTTGCTTTTAGGAAGTTTTATGAAGTTATTCTTAAATTGTTTTGTTAGAATTTTTAGACACATTGATAACTTTTACATGTTACAAAATTAGCATCGGGAAGACTTTAAGATTTAAAGACATTTCAGGCATCCATTTTTGATATTTTAGTTATAGATTTTAAGCAAAATACATACAAAAATCCATTTATTGTTCTTCAGATCAAATACGAGATGAGGCCACATGTGTCATTTGCATTATAAGAATTCAATTTTGTGATTTGGTTTAAAATTTTCAGGAAGAGTATACAAATATGGATGATATTGATGTTAAAAGCTCGTGGCCACGGTTTTCATATTGATTGTATCAAGAAATGGTTGTCTATGAAGAACTTGTGTCCCATTTGCGAAGGGGACCTGTAAAGCAGAAATGAAAATAAATTTATTGTCAGATATTATTATTATAAATATTCTCGTTTTATCCATCTTCTTTGGCATTCCATTCCCGCAAAATGGAGTTCTTCCCTAGTTTTATATTAACTTTATTACTATGTCAAGTTGTGAGTAAGATTAATTGAATAATATTACTCAAAGTTGTTGTAATTTTATACTTATATTAATTTAGGAGTATATGATAATTATTATTTTAATAATTAATATGAGTGGAATAATCTGTATCAACAATATATTTATTAAAATTAAAATTTCATAATTTAGCAATATTATCCAATCGGTATTTAAATATTATCTTAAATATTTGCTAGTAATTTTGTGGCAAAGAATATTTTATAGTATTTTTTTTATAACTTAAATTGATTGGAGAACGTGGCTTGTACATGTCATCTTCACTTTCGTCTGAGTCCTCTTATCGTCGATAACGTCTCAGCATTTCATTACCCAATCATGGATACGCTAATGGCATCATCCTCTTCTACTGCAGCCATTCTCCACCGTCCGCCGCCCCTTCCCCTCCGGTCCTCCAATTCCTTATTCTACACCGGTTCTTGCTCAACAGGTACGGCGGCGTTCTTCCGAAAGCCCTTATTCGGCAATCATGGTGCTCAGAGAAAACTAATTCACTCGTTCCAAAATTCTTCATCTCAATCTTCGTCGTCGAGTGTGAAAGTGCCGATTAAATGTGGAGTTACCGAGATTAACGAGAGCCAATTCCCGGAGGTAGTATTGAAATCCGACCGTCCTGTTCTTGTTGAGTTTATTGCCGGTTGGTGCGGACCTTGTCGATTGATCGCTCCCGCCATTGAATCCATAGCAAAGGTTCACATCGCTTCTCGTTTTACCTTTTCTGAAACCCTACTGGCATGAATTGTGTTCTCAAATCGAATCATGAATTACTTGGTTGATATGGAGCGAAGAAACCCTAATTTAGGGATTTTAGCTTATCTACTGTATTGTATACTACAATCACATTGTTCAATTAGTTTTTCGACCTTTGATGATTAGTTAGGGTTTCAGTTATTTTTGCTAAACATGTTTGCTGAAATTCAGGAATACGAAGATAAACTATTGGTTGTAAAGATTGATCACGACTCGAATCCAAAGCTAATCCAAGAATACAAGGTGTATGGATTGCCTGCTTTGATTTTGTTCAAAGATGGGCAAGAAATTCCACAAAGCAGAAGGGAAGGTGCAATTACAAAAGCAAAGCTGAAGGAGTACATTGATGCACTATTGAAATCGGTATCAGTTGCTTAACTCCATGAATCATCACTTGTTTTTCTCACAATTTATGAGCAGCAGGGGAATTGTATAAAGGTGTAAATTTAAACGTATTACAGATCTTCAATTTCTCTTGCACATTTTCTTAATAATATTTAGGTAAATTAAACAAAATCGCAAATGGATTTTGGTTTTTACTTTCATTAGAGTATTTTTTTATATATATAAAAAAAAAAGAACATGTCAATTATATATATTCTTTTGTATTATAATTAATTTACTGAACTTAAACCAACCTATTCTTATTGATGCTCTATGAGCCCGTACTTTGTGGATGTTTTGGAATGCCTGTATGAAATAAGTAGATGTGGAAATTTAAAACAATTCATATGAAGATGAGTTAGAGCATTCATGGTATGAACTTATTGGAGAGTTTTGTCCTGTAAGGCTGACTCGGTTTGATACATGCTGAATATGCTTCTGACCTGGTCAACACTTCCCGACTCGGTTCTATAGAGTTCTATAGAAAATAGAAGCTGACCAAGTAGCTGATGGAATAATGACATTTGTGCCTTAATTTACAAGCTCTAATTAGAGTTTTTTTTTCACAAAGCCTTTTCGTTGCTTGAATTTACAAGCTCTAACGTAGAGTTTTTTTATTTCCTTCACAATTATAATGCTACTCAGTTCGTTTTGCATAGTTATTTTAAAAAAAATCTCGACAAGAGTCATAAATAAGCTCTATAAAAAAGCGTTACTATAACGATATTTGAGTTTTTTTTATTTGTTGAGTTGACGCCAAAAAAATTATTAAAAAATGTTTTCACTGCGATTATATTATATTGATGGCAGGATAACCAAAAAAAAAAAAAAAAAAAAAAAAAGTCAAATTAAAGGCATGTTTTAGTTCACGGATTTAAAAGGAGTTTGAAGGAATTAGAATGCATTAAAAATGGTTTGGTTGAGAAAATCAATCAAATTGGAATTATTTAAATTCCATTAAATTTTCTGTTTTGAGTTAAAAGACACATTTTAGATTTTATTTTTTTATGTTTTATTGGAAATACAATATTGTCTTCTTATATTTTTTTTTTAGTCATAATTCATTAAATTAAAACATATTATCAACATTTTCCCACATCATACCAATCCACTCAACCACCCAACCCCACCTACTACAACCCCCTCCCCCCACCCCCCAACCCCCACACACTAACACATATGTCCAAACTCCAAACCAATCATGGATAGCACATATATCTACCTTGAAACGTTCGGGATGAGTTTTTGGTAGGATAGATAGTTAATACAAGGTTTTTTTTATAGCATGACAAGGGTATGCAATTGCATACCCTTAACTTTCTTCTATAAGGGTTAATTATTCAAAATAAAAAGTTATTGCGTATTAAATATTATTGATGCATACCTTTGGTCTTAGACTATGTATACATATATTAGTGACAACTCATGTAAGCATGCAAGAGGAGAATTATTATTAAAGAAAAGGAAGCAAATATTTGGTTTAGAACTTTCATTAAATAAATATGAATGATTTTTTAGACTTTAAAAAATCTATCATAACCCATAACTTAAGAGATAATAATTCAAATCTCAAACAATCAAAAATCCTAACAATCCTTGTTACTTACCGACTTCATCCGGAAAAATGGCTATGTAGGCAATACTAAGTTATTTATGAATTTTAAAATACAAAACCTTGATACGATCATTTTTAGGGTTGTTAATTTCATTATAGAATATACGTAGAATATACGTTGTTTATAAAATTTTGAATACATAAACTTGATGTGTTCATTTTTAAAGTTTTAAATTTCATTAGAGAAATAGATAATGGAATATAGAAATACAAGTTGTCCTATCATATCAATTTTACTAACTTTAAATTATTATGTAATGTTATTATTGTGAAATCCTTGAATTATGTTTTTTTGATCCTTTACTCTACCAAGTGTAAACACTACATACCTTATAAAAAAATTTCTAGATTCAAGTCTAAAGATCAGAACGAACCAGATTTTTAAATTCAAGTGCAAGAGTCAGCCAAAAAGTATGAGCGCTCTTGCACTATACTTTTTTGCATCACCCTATCCTATTGGAGGCAGATTTGGTCATTGTTTAGAATAGTTAAGGTATTATGATTCTAGATCTCGTATGCAATTCCATTTGTCTCTATCTATGTACCTGTTCCGTAACCATTTATATTTTTAGAATACTTATAATTTTATTATTAATATATATGGTGTTAAAGTTATATTATAATATTATATATGATAGTAGAAATAAAAAGTTTGTTACGCAATTACTATTTAATTCTTAGAATAGAATTTGGTGATTTTTTTTTTTTAATTTATGCTATGATTTTGACTAGTTTATCAAGAAATCAAATATTATAAATTTGTGTAACATTTGTTATATATTAAACTTCTTCATGTTTAACATGCAATGTAATTATTAAAAACTTTTGTGGATGAGATTGTGATTGCGTTTTAGGAAATGAAAATTCAAATGGATACACATTGACCTATTTAGGATCATATATGAGGTAACAAATGCTGTAAATCTGACATGTGTATTTAACTAGAAGATACCTGATAAGACGAAACCGAGTTTTGGATGACATGGGATTTAGATCACTAATACTCGTCCCATACCCATCTCAATTCCATGCCTAAAACCAATACAAAACTCCAAACCATACAATGCAATCCAAATTTTCCAACAGGTCAATTTGGTTTTTTCGAATGGTCTAGTCAACAAAAGTTCAAGAGAACTAAAGTTATTAACGTATCATTTGTTTTTAAAAAGTTAAAATGTATTTATTCTTTATCCATATCCATAGAAAAAATGTGAACAAATAGTTTTTATCCATATATGTCGAAAAAGATGTGAACCAGAAGTCTACGACCAACAAAAAAGAACTTTTTATTCTTTTTAATTTATGAAGTCTGTAGTATGATTTGGACAAATAATCTAACAAGATTTTTTATAACTACACATTGTACAAAAATCTTAATAAACGATCCTAAAAAATTGAACACAATAACTCAACTACACAAGTGATGACAAAGAGATGGCTGGTTTTAATAAATAAAAATTTATTACACAAAAGAGTAACAAAAAATAGAAAAAATGTAAAAAAGGATGACATAAAAATGTAATTACACAAAAAAAATATAGCAAATGTAGCAAAAGACATCAGAAGGAGTGAAATGATGCTGGTCGACGACGAGCATCGTAACCATCATCGTCATGAAGAGTTGAAGGACAAAAGTAAAAAATGAAACTTATGTGAAAGTGGTTGAAATTGTTTAGCAAAGATATGGTGATCAGAATTTGGGTCGCTGGTCGGTTAGAGACGATGTGGGAGGTAGGACGTAGTCGACTTTTATGTTAGGATATGAAATCTCAGTGGCTTGTTTAGGGTTAGAAAAGGTCATCCAGAACCAAAAATATATCATTTTATCTTCTACAAAAAGAAATATAGAATTTTGTATATACCCTTAATAAACATCAAAATATCATATTTGTCCAACCTATTTTTTAAATATCATGTTTACCCATCTTAAGTTGTCAAAATATCAAATTTGCCCAAAATCTTTTTCTTTAACATTTTTTAATCATTTCTTGTATTTTAAAATCATTCAAAGTGAAAAAGAAATTTGAATGGACTATATTGCCCTTTCTTCTAAATCATAGGAGCTCTTTATGCAATATATGTACAGGATCAACTTCGCCATTTGAACCTGAAATTCAAGTGTTAACCTCTCGTCGTCTTACCTCTTACCCCACTCCGTCTTCCTTCTTGTAGACATCTATAAGAATAAAGCAATTCTAGGTAATTCTGGTGTTAACATCTCAGAATTTTAGGGATTTCTTTGTGAATTTATATATCACTGTATGAGCTTTTGATCTATTTCAATATGTGAATGCAATCAATCTATATCTGCTCTTTTGATCAAGTTTGTTCTTAATATCTAAGATGAGTTGTTGATTGCATCACTTCCATTGGGTTTTAGCTTACATGAGTTGTTGATATCGGACGTGTTCGGCACAGAGCGTTTGAGACCTTATAGTTTCTAGCGTTTGACAAAACGCTCTGCTTAAAACAAAAAGTCTCGTTTGACACTACAAGCTTCTAGCGTTTACTTTAATCAAAACGCTCGAAATCCAAATGCTACTTCATGTGGCGTTTAACAAAATGCTACAAGCTGCAAGCTACCCGCTACCAGCTAGTTTTGCCGAACACGTCCATCATCATACTATCATAAATACTTTGCAGTGAGTTATTCTTAAATGAAAGACTTGGATGATCAGGTTTTTTTATCCATAATATTAATATTGCATCAAGCAATTAGTATTATTTAAGAATTGATATTCTATCTTGGAGGATCCAAAAATGAAAAAGAAAAAAAAAGAGAACCAACCGATTGATCTTCTAAAGTTTTGAAAAGAAAATAGCTGCAACATATCATGGTTTTATATGAAATAAAGTTAGATAGATTCAAACACAGATTAATAATTTGAACGGTGGTTGTGATCTTGATCAATCTTAATTAGAGACAAGGAGAAAATGAAACTATAAAAAAATAGTTTTTGGAATTCCTAGTGGCAATGGCGTAGCCACATAGAGGTAAAGGTGGGCCTTGACTTACCCCACAAAAATCAATGCATCTCGTTAAAAACTTTAGATCCTATATCCGGCTCATACTCCGTAAATTATTTGGTCTTTCTTAATTCAAAACTTTAGATTCCATATCTGGTTCATACATTGTAAATTTTTTGGCCTACTCTAAAATAAATATCTAGCTATGCCATTGCCTATTGGTTTGGTTTTACTTGGTGAGTTAGACTTGTATAATGAGGCATGAGATTTTTTTTTGACTTTACTGTTGTGAAATGAAACGAATTTAGTGGAAAGGTAATCAGTTTTTCCCCTGATCTGCATGCCATCTAAATCACATTTTTTGAACTACTGGTTAAATCAACAAAAGAATCAATCACTTTATAAAAGCTTTTAAATCCTTATTTGCATGTCATCAGTTTTTGTTTCAAGATTTCTAAAGTCATGCTTATTACGTGGTGATTTTGTATAATATTTTACAATGTGAAATAATTCATAAACTATGAGAAAATTTCATCAAATAAAGTAGTTTGAACTTATATTATTGAACAATTTTTTTTTATTGATTCTAGTTGCATTGGTCTTTAGACTTCAAAATTTCCATATTGTTATGCCTTACAATTATCTTAGATTATTGACGTATCGGGGATACATATGTAATCTGGAGAATATTGCATTAATATGATGTTAGTTTGATAATTGATATACCTGTGTTTAACGTCGTACTCTTACAAATGGTCTTAATTAGAGTTATAATCGTTCTTAAGCACCCCACATGAACAAGATTGTATCTTCTAGTTTGTGAAGACATGCAAGTGTTTTTTTGTATAATGTACAAGTAGGTAATGCATTAGTGGTTTGGGATAGTGAGACTTCATCAATGAGCTTGTCGGTAAACTTATGTCGTCTAAAAGAATCAAGATGATAGCC